AATTTATAACTTGTGTTGGGCATGGCCGTGGTCTAGGCAACACGGAGTTTTTCTCCGTGGCATCCCAACAATTACTTCATTCACACACAGAAGAAGGCAATGGCAAACCACTTCTGGATCATCTGCCAAGAACGTATATGAACAGGTCCCAGTCCGAGAAAAGGATGGAAGGATCCTGTTCATATGGACCTGTCGTCAGACAGAACACTAAATAATAATAAGATGAGGTGGTCTAGGCAACACGGAGTTTTCCTCCGGGGGCTTCCCCGGTTTCTCTGTGGCATCCCAACAATTACTCCATTCACACTCACACAGAAGAAGGCAATGGCAAACCCCTTCTGGATCATCTGCCAAGAACGTATATGAACAGGTCCCAGTCCGAGAAAAGGATGGAAGGATCCTGTTCATATGGACCTGTCGTCAGACAGAACACTAAATAAATAAATAATTGGGCAAGCGCTCGTTCAATTTCCTTTCATAATAATAAATAATACATTTTTATTTATATTTATATGTTTTTTATTCTCCTTCTACACAGTCAGACAAATTATTAATAATTAGATCTTTTGACAATTATTTTTACTGCAAAATACAGAGTAGAGTGGGGCGTAGTCCTCAGAAACCCCCACTTATCTTTACTGGTCTGTGAGTAAGAAAACGTTTCGAACCACTGGGTTAGATGACTGGATTCTCAGATGCCCAAGATCACTGACGTTTCACAGATACATACTGTTTCCATCATCAGGGCCATAAAGTGGTTGTGATTAAGGGGGGCGGGGGGGGGGCGAGTTATGACAAGATGTAGGAGAGTCTCAGGATGTCCTTATAAAAGTGACGCGGCTCAGGGGGGCTTCTCCACCTGGCACCCCCGGCAAACACCAAAACAAAATCAGAACTGTAAAGGATGTTCTCAGGACCAGCAAACAGAGATTTGACGACGGCCACCTTCCGGGTTGCCGTGCCGGGGAGTACGGTAAAGTTTATCATTCATGTCCTGATGACGGAGGCAGCGAGGAACTCTTAAATGTCAGTAAACTTGTACCAGATCGCACACAGGGGCAACGACCCAGACGACAGCCATCTTCAGACTTACCACCGTGAAAACCTCGACTCCTTCAAAAAGAGATTTGATGGTACGGACGATATCCTCGGACGCCCTCTGAGCACGACGGAAGAAATCAGCAGAGTTCGTCCGTAATATTAAGTCTCTCCGTGCTGGTCCTGAGGACAGGTTTGACCTGCTCAAAACTGTGCCTATATCTGAACCAAATTTTTCATTCACAGCTTACTTATCACTCTGATGATGAAGGCAGTAAGCTCCTTTGAGATGTCAGTATAAACTTCCACCGACTATACACCGCGACATTCCGGAGGTTCAATTGTTCGGTGGTCTTGTAAGTGTCCGCGTCAGCCCTGGTTGAACGGAGGTCACGCTCAATATTTATCATCCGTCGATTTTCAATCTGCCTAACGGCGTCTGGCATTTGTCGTGTTACTTTTAAATAGGTTCTTAATATTCATTTTACTTAAATAACTCTTTTTTCCATCAACAGTTGTTTTAGATTCTTTCACTTTTAGTGTAGCCTTCGTAATCTAAAAATGAACAAAAATGTTTTGTAAATTTTGCAATAAATTACAGTAAATCTAAAAGATTTCAGTACATTTAATAAATCAAACCAAAGCTTAAGAATTGACTTGAAAAGTCCAAACTGAAGTTTACATGATTTTCTTCAGTCTCTACAGTCAGATGACAGGTTGCATTTTGAAAGATGATCCTTCCAAATATTTAATTATCCACCAATCATAACCGTCTTCATATTTCATTTAACATTATTTGCGATTTGTTTAAATTTTGTAAAAAAAAGTGATGATCAAATGTAAATCGAACATTTCGATAGAGAACATCATTTAATATATTTTAAATATTTAAATGTTAATTATAGTAATATTTTAATATTTAATAGGAATTTTATTGTGATTAGACTGACAAGATTTAAAAAAAATATATATTTATCACAATATGACGCAACTTTATCATCTCATTATTTGCGATACAAAAGGAAATTTGTAATAATCCGTAAATAGTCCGAATACGTAAAAAGTACTTCTTTATTCGTAACTTCGGGTACCTTGTCTCTCTCTCTCTGCTGCTCTTCTAGTAAGTTTCGCGCCACAATTTGAAATGCTCTGTTCTTCATCTCCTGTCGATTTTCTCTCGTCCGTGTGAATTCCATCTCTTTTTTTGGTCTGTAATTTGAAATTAGCGATGCCTGCAAATCAACCACCTGGAACCCAGAAATTAAAAAAAAAGAGATACATGTTGTTAAGGCAGCTTACCCAAAAGCTTTGAACAAATTTATACATTTAATTCTAAAAATATTTTCAGGTGATTTTGCCTGTACTCTAGTACGGCTGTGAAATATCGCCTTTGTCTCGTGAAAAGAGGACACGTAAGTGTTCGGAACAGAACGTCCAGTAGAGTACCAGGACCTGTGAGGGTTCAGGAACTTCACAATTTATAAACGCAGTCTATTTTTTGGTTTAGTCAAATCAACGTCGTTATACTGACAACAAAATACATAATCAATATTGGTGGAGCACCGTCTGATGGACACAGAAAGAAATGAAGAAGATGAAACAATTTTTGAAGCTCCATAAAATATCGAGAGATACGAGAAACAGGGATTTTTCAGACGCATCACGAAATAGACTTTGTATATGCAGACTGAGAAAAGGAGATGAGTGAAATGGAAGGGGCAATTTGTCTGATTTAGAAGAGGGAGAAGGCAGTGAAGAGAAGATCTGGAATGGGAGAAGAATGAGTGGGTGAAGAATAAGGAGAACAAAAAGGAAAATGAGTGAGAGAAAGAGGACACTGATATATATATATATATATATACGTAAAGTCATATACGAAATTCACACATTACAGCGACATACCTGTTGCTGTACCTCAGCGACTTGCGTCTGGACCAGCTTAACGACGTTATATAAATTTTCTGCTCTGTCTCGTCCTTCTTGCCGAAGCTCTGTGAGTTGCGCTAAGACTTCCTTAAGGATGCCACGTATGTCATCCAGATCTCTGTTACCCCTATCTTGCCTGTTATGCAGAGCATTCTGTGATCGGCTGCACACATTGAGAAAAACAAGAAAAACTTATAAATTTTGACCACTTTCGAGATCTATTCAAATATAAGGGGGTTATAATAAAACTGATCTTAGAGGGAGGAACAGGTAGAAACTATATTCTGTATAGGAGCACACAGGATATCCTCAAGTGTTATCTGCAACGTGTACTTAAAAGTAATAAATCTGCCACATCTCTTAAAAATAGATTATTCACGCATTTCAAAACCATTATAATTTTTAAATTCAAAAACCATAAATTCACAATTCCCATATTTGAACCACTGTACGTAAACAAATTCTATCTTTGATATTTCCATCTTTGGACATCAGAGTGCAGCACCTCAAAGGCTTTCCTCCAGTTTGTTATCAATGATCACAGGATATTCTAAAGTATGACTTTGAGGTAGAGTCCAATGGCACAACACCCATTTCAAATTTCATCCAAATCTGTCCAGTGCTTCTCAAGTTGCCACCTGGGTAACCATTATTTATTTATTTGTAGTGTTCTGTCTGACGACAGGTCCATATGAACAGGATCCTTCCATCCTTTTCTCGGACTGGGACCTGTTCATATACGTTCTTGGCAGATGATCCAGAAGTGGTTTGCCATTGCCTTCTTCTGTGTGTGAATGGAGTAAGTGTTGGGATGCCACGGAGAAAAACTCCGTGTTGCCTAGACCACGGCCTCGCCCAACACAAGTTATAAATTCGGGCACCGCCGGGAATCGAACCCGAGACCCCCAGGATTACAAGGCCAGCGTTCTAACCGCTAGACCACCGTGGCAGATGGGTAACCATTATAAACAAACAAGAATTTATAACCTATTGGTCTTTCCAATGTGGAATTCGACCTGTCTCTCCAAATCGAGAACCTGTTGAACAACTGCCTGAGCTATGGCATAGTCTAGCTCAGTGGTCCCCAACATTTTTACGCCTACGGACACATTTGAGAGTTTATGAGATCGTGGCGGGCACCAACCAATTAAAAAGCCAAATTTTGTTTTCTCTGGACAAATAAGAAATGGACACCAAATAATACACAAAACAACACGACGTTTAATGACACAAGAAACCACGCGATCAAAAATACGTAGTTTTATAAGTACAATTATTATTACTCAAGTGGGAAGTTAGTGTGATGTTTGGCACTGCATTTCATCAGCCAGTTTTTCAAATTTGGGAATGTAGGATGATGTTTCTGCTCGTAAACATTCGTCAGTAAGTCGAGATCTGTGCTTTGATTTTATGATGTTCGTGGTTGAACAGCCTTCATTATTTAGTATAACCTCTTTCCGTAACAACGAGGGCACCCAAAAAAAGCCTTATCGGGCACCGCGTTGGGGACCGCTGGTCTAGCTAGTCAAATTGACAGCCGGTTAGCTTAGACAGCGAAGTAGCTAACTATCTGAAGAAAGTAATTAATTAAACTAAAGTTTCTTGGTCCTGTATCGGTAGACATATCCTACCTTGAGACCTGTTCACCTTTTGGCTTCTGAATGTCAAAATCTAATTTTCTCTGACAATCCACAGTTGCCACCCCTGAGCTTTCTTCCATAATATCAGGCACCCTAGAATGAAAGTTTTTACTATAGACATAAAATCTTTTCTGAGCTGGAAGAAATTGAAATTAACGAGTCAGTTTTGTGGTAATTTTTCATAGCTTGTCACAAGAATATACGCTGTAAGTGTTTGAAAACAATATTTAAGAACTTGGGAACGAGGTTGATAATTAAAATGATCTATGCATTATAAAATTTAGAACAGACTGAATTTTAAATATGTCTGCTATCATTAAGTTTTCCAACCTTTTATACTTGCAGGTGTTCTCGTAAAGTACAAATTAAAATATATAAAACTATAATTTTTACCTTCGGTCTTAATGGATGTCAAATTTTACATCTCGCTCAAAAGGAAAAATGATGGTTTGCAAAGGAAATACTGGGGAAAAGTGTTTAGATCTGAGCAAGATGTCGAAACAGAAATTTACAATTCACAGTTTAATTTATCACTTAACATTGCCAGGGTCTGTAATCAAGGTACATCATGGAGAAACATGTAGCACAAATGCGGTAAGCAAGAAATGAATCTATAATTGTAATCTGTAAACCCAATAACTGTACAGACAAGATAATACTCGGGAGACGTAGGATGACGATTATGTTAAAACAGAGAATAAATTATTTTGGGATAAAATCATATTACGGACTTTTGCGAATACAGCGATGAACATTTGGGTGGCATAACAACAAGGAATTTTATCAGATGAGTATAATCTTTTCAAGGAAAAGTCTATGCCATGGAATTAGTTAGGAAAATGTACTTCAGGCTTGGATTATACCACGTTGAAGAAAATGAAAAACAAACCACGATGTACGAGTGTCCCTAATCATCCTCCATTCTTCCTTTGCATCTCTGTAGATCTTGATCTGATCCTTTGCCTTGTGGGGACTTGAATATTTTTTCGTTGTTGGTCGTCCTTCTGTCACTTTAATCTGAGGCTGGAGATGGGTAATTTCATGTTTGGGTCTAGATAACCTGCGCTCCGAAATGTTCGATGACTGTCGAACTTTCTTTGAAACCTTCAAAAGAAAAAATAAATCATCGGAATTTGTTGATTTATTATTATTTAGTGTTCTGTCTGACGACAGGTCCATATGAACAGGATCCTTCCATCCTTTTCTCGGACTGGGATCTGTTCATATACGTTCTTGGCAGATGATCCAGAAGTGGTTTGCCATTGCCTTCTTCTGTGTGTGAATGGAGTAATTGTTGGGATGCCACGGAGGAAAACTCCGTGTTGCCTAGACCACGGCCATGCCCAACACAAGTTATAAATTCG